TGTCCATCCCCCCCCCCCCCCAACAACCCCTGCCGGTACGAGACTCAAACCCGCAACCGTTTGGGTTACGAGTCCGACTCTGTAACCATTAGGCCACAACTGCCCGTCATATTGTCATCCCGCTGCTGTAGAGGAATTCTGTTTAGAGAAACCGTCAAAACCGCGGTGATCCATAGTCAGTGGTGAGGTATGTGGATGCACATGCTGAATGTAAACATTACAAGGTTTATACTGGCTGCTAGTTATGATTTCATCACCAGTGTCATTTTAATGACAAATGAGTTCAACACTAAGTGCCCTAATTTAGAAAGAGAGAAGCATGGATATTTAAACCTTTCTACAATTCTGTCACTGCCTATTGTCAAATATTCAGTGGAGAAAATATAAACGGGTAGATCTGAGCTCATCGTATTCACTGCTCTATATGGTGCATACAGTAGTGTGTCAGAGATACATCTATCTTTGGCCTCTTGGCTCTCTTGTTTGGTATATATTAAGCGAAACATTGACTTCAGATATTCTGGGTAATTTGAGACTTTCCTTTTTGTCGAAACTCTGTCTATTTATAGTGGGGTCTCTAATCTGTCATAAGAGCGATAGAGCAGTTGTTGCTGAGAAGTGTGCGTCATGACAAACTTTCCATTGACAGGCAGCTGCAGGGACTCGGCAGCTTAGTGGTGACAATAATAAAGTGAGCCGTCTGCTAGATCAGCTCTCCAGTTATCTACAGGAACAAAAACACAGCAATCGCATAAAACAGTATGTTTGGATTTAACATAGGATTTGCCAAAGTTAACAGGCTTATCACACACATGAGGTCAGGATTTGAAGGGAGAACAATAAATCAAGTCTGTTTTCCTTAAAGGGGTCATATGATGCGATAAAAAAAATGTTCCTTTCTCTTTGGAGTGTTACAAGCTCTTGGTGCATAAAGAAGATCTGTAAAGTAGCAAAGACTAAAGTCTCAAATCCAAAGAGATATTCTTTATAAAAGTTAAGAGTCAACCACGCCTACCTAAAACGGCTCGTTCTAACACGCCTCCACATGTCTACGTCACGATGTGGGAAGATTTGCATAACGCCGCCCAAATGTTCACGCAAAGAAAGAAGGCGTAACTTTTATTCTCGCTGTAGTATTGTTGTTGCCGCCGCCGCCATGTCATGAAGACGCTGTGTGTTTCGTTGTGAAAGCGAAACTACTTTGGTTGGCCTTCCAAAAGGTCATATAAAAGGTCACGATATCCGCTTCGTCATGCTTAGAGCTGATCCGTGCTGGTCGCTGAAGAAATACATCAACTTTGCGAGGTGGATCACCGGATCGGCTTTCATCGTGAACGAAGTGGAGTCCAGCCCGGAGTCGTCACATGTGGTTGCCGCAAGCCGCCGGCCTCCACTCACTCTAGCCCGCCGTGTGTGACGCTGTGTTTCGTTGTGAAAGCGAAACTACTTTGTTTGGCCTTCCAAAAGAGGACACGACTAGAAATCAGTGGTTAAGTTGTATTTACAACACTGTTCCAGAACAGTTCAACCCAAATATTCAGATGTGTGCAGCGCATTTTATGGAGGACTGTTTCCTGATCCTGGAAGAGTAGACTACAATGCCCGCTGTTCTGACTCACAGTCTGTGAGTACGTTTTTTATATTTAAAGAATTTGCCACTGACGATTCAAACGCGAGTTTTGAGCAGTGTAGAGTAGCACTTGTTGTTTGTCATTTCTCCGATCACAAATGCAGACATGGTTTTATGTTTACGCAGCGCGATGCAACGCAATGCGTAAAAAGACAGTATAAGTCATTATAATCCATAATTATGTCCCCACTGGATGCAACAAATGCCTCGTTTATAATTGGTTTTAATATTTTTGTCTCGTCACTCCGGGACAAGGCATCGCAACATGGTAAGGGGCGTAACATTTCCGTCACAAGCTTGAGGTATTCAGCCAATCACAACGCACTGGATAACTGGCCAATCACAGCACACCTCGCTTTTCAGACCGATGAGCTTTGTAAAAATCGATGCGTTTCAGAAAGGCGGTGCATAGAGGAGAAACAATAATGTACATTATGTGGAAATAATGTGTTTTTTGAACTTTAAACCACATAAACACATTTCATTACACCAAATACACAAAATAATGTTATTTTTAGCAATGTCATATGACCCCTTTAACACTCATCAGGACACATTTCCCTGCATGAATTCTGAATTGTTTTGGTACAATTTTTGGACAATAATGATTTTAGGTTTGTATTTTGTGACTATGGGAACTATATAGAATTGCAAGAAAAAAAGTCAGAATTATGAAATAAAAAGTCACAATTACCGCGAAAACGGGATCCCATAGAGAGTTGTACACATGCATTTAATGCTGGCGCAAAGCAATCTGCCATTTATATACTCCCAGAACAGACGTTTAGGGGGAATGTGGCCTTTCGCCTTATTAGAAGTAATTTTGAATTTATATTTAAATGTACAAACATACATAGAGTTGCTTTAGGTTCATTGTTTGAGTTCACATAGCATATTTCTCCATTTCTAATGTTGTTGGGTGTGATTTTCTGCATGGTAAATGCATGTAGTCTGCCAGCCAGGAGTAGTCTGTTCCAAAAAGCCTTATGAACGTGCTTTGTGCCACAAAGCTCTTAAAAAAACCAGACGCAAGCTCTCAGTCAGCCAGGAGATAACATTCTTTCCATTGCTCCCCCTCCGACCCCAGGCATGGTGTAAGCCTCAAGGCCTCGCAAAACCAAAGGGCAAAATAAAACATAGAAGTCCAACTGAGGATTCTGTCAGTTAGGTTGAATTGAAACTGTAAAAATAAAATTGTTATGCATAATAATACACTATGCTGTTCGCATACTGCTGAGAGTTCTAAACTTCAGAGTTAAGTGTGTATAGGTGCATTTTAGTAAACAGCACATTTCACATGTCAGGAAAGTTTTACAAGTGATGGTACATCTGGGTTCAGCAATCATTAAAAATTAAGAACATGGCTAGTCTTGCTCTCGGGGGAAATCTGCTGTGGTTGGTATTCCACCTGGACATCTGGATTGAGGGCTGCATGTACAACTCTTGAAAGACAGCCTGAAAAATCAGGAATGCAAACAATGTTTACAGGAGGAGAACAAACCTGGCTGATGTTTTACAGTTGACCATATGAACATATTCTGGGAAAAAATTCATTTTAAAATCTTCACTGTTGTGAAATAATTTCAAATTATTTTGCCAAATTATATTTTGATTTTCAATACAATTTGTAAATCAGAGCCAGATTTTTGACAGCTGGAGTTTCACAGAAAATCACGTAGTGTTTGATGGGCACGGATTCAAGTTTTTTTTAGCTTTAGACTCTTTTTCCATCTATTTGGAGAATATCAAACATGTTTGAGCCGATTTTAGAACTCATATTGTTGTCGTGTCTCTAAGCAATGAGGTGCATGTTTCTGTATGAGTTAGTTGTATTTAGAACAACTTTAAAGTCTGTTAGTGTGTGTGATCCTCAGTAATTTTTCTGTGTTTCCACACAAAGTCATGAAGTGTATGAATGATGCCTATAGGGTTTTAAA